CCCGCTCGGCTTGTGCTCGGGCTCGTTTTTTTACGAGCCCGAGCGACTCGTGGGTATGAATAGTATGAGCTGAGCACCCGAGCCGACGAGCTGCTCAACCCAATTGCCACCGCTACTCATACGCTTCTTTTTTAGAAAATTGTTGAATTTGTTTTCTTGCCTTTTTGGTAGTAAAAGATTTTCTATTTTTTTTTTTTTGGGCAATTGGAACAAATTTTATAACCAATTGTAAATTATTTTTTTCATTTTAATAGACAATTTTCATATAAAATAAAGTCAAACGAACACTAAATTTTGATTAAAAAATGATTTTCTTGGAAATTTTTTTTTGTTTTTATTTTCTGGCAATAGAAACAAATTTTACAACCAATTGTGGAAAAAAAATTATCACTTTAATGAATAATTTTCATGTAAACAAAGCCAAACGAACACAAAAAGATCAAAAATTTTAAAATTTTTCGAGTGAAAAATTATACAAATCAAACACACTTAATTAACAATTCTCTAAAAAAATAAGTTCTAGACAATTATTTTCTCTGAAATTTATTTTCTTTCCACCCTTATAATCAAACGTCACTAAGTCAAATTGAAGTAAATAGAATCCATTACATAATTTTCCCCCCTTTAATTAATTCAAATGAAAATGTAATATGGATCAATATATATGTAGTAATTAATTAAAATACAGATGCTTATTTCCTCATGTTGTATTATTATTATTTTTTAAATTGATTTATACGATATAAATAGTTTACAATAAGAACAATGCTACACTTACAGTCCCCCTTCATTGCCCCTCACAGTCCACTCACATGGAGGTGGGGCCCACACCCACTCACTTGTGAGAGGACTGTGAAACTCACTGTGAAGAGGGACTGTACATTTAGGAAAATTATTTCAATAAATGGTTTATCGTGAAAAGTTGATGATGGTAAGAACAAAATGAAGAAGGAGAAGTAAATAGTAGTTAAGAATCAAATTTAATCCTTCGCTTCTCAGCTCAAAGTATCTGAACTTGGATTTTTATGACCAACCAAATTATAGTTTGTCCGTTCGGTTTAGTTCGAGTCTAATTCCATTTCAGTCCAAGGTCAACTGAATACCCTACTCAAATATCAATAACATCACAATGGAGAATCAAATATTACTGTGAAGATCAACACTCTACTTTGCACCAAGAATCCGGGCTCAGAATCTTCAATCGACACCATAATGAGAAAACCCAACACTCAAACCACACCAAACGGTTGCTCCACGTTTTTCTGCCCACACAGGAACTTCGA